AATACTCACTGACATCACAAGGACAATCTTTGGAGAGGTCAAGACAATGTGGCAGTGAAGGGGCATGACCACCCTCATGAGCATACCTGGCTCTTTACAGTGGCAGCTGGATCTTAATGCCGTGTCTCCTCTAGTCCAACAAGCAAAGGAAAAGACTGGAAGTGGAGACCAAGAGACAAAAACCAAAGCTGCAATAAGACAAAAAAGAAGAGGATTTTGTCCAAAAGCCATGCATCTCAACTGGAGACTACTGGTTTAAACATAGCAGCCACTCCCAGGGAAGTCACACTCGTATTTGCAACGGAGCAGCTGAGGGTCCTGCCTGTCCCCACAAACACTGGCAGTCCTCAGCCAGGGTGAAGGTCAGCCAGGTCCTCACATCCAGACCTGGTGGCCCTAGTACCTCTGTTCATGAGACACTATTTTTTCCCCTTACCCAGCTGCAGGCTGTTCCTGCCAGCAGCCTCAAAGCTCTCGACCTGCTATTAAAACAGCCTCAGAGAAAGTAAACATGACCAATGGAAAAACAAAAAAATATCACCCAAATGTCTAAGGAAACCATGAGCTACATCCAGCACAGATTTTTCAAAAGGACAAGGATTTTCATGGCTCAGCGTTCTAATTTGTTTGACCGTTTATTTCCAAGGAACACATCCAAGAGTGACAAGCTCCATTTATTTCAATGGGCAGCATATGCCAGCAACGAGAATGGCGTACGCTATAAAAGAGAATGGATGTTCTCAAGCATCCTAGAAAGCTGTCCTTCAGCAGATAGAGGACATGGAGGTAATGGAAGTGCAGCTCTGCTCTGACAAGCAACACCATAAAAGCAGCATCCTGGCTTCTCATGTTTGATGTCTCCCCATGGCAGACCTGAGAGATTTGCTCAAGCTGAAAGTGAAAAATTATTACCTAATACCTGGCCCAGTGCTGAAGAGAGCAGTTGGATTCTTTCATTGTTCTACTTTTCTGGGCCATAAGGACATCTCCTTGGGACATATGGCCACTTCAGGGTGTTAGTGCTTCACCCTTTTAGACTTTTAGAGGCTACCCACTAACCCAGACTATTCTCACAAATGACATCACCTTCAAATCATTGTCTGATGTGAATATGAGATGTTCACACAAGAAAGTGCCCTCTTTTCATAAAAGATCATCATGTGGTAGTACTGTTTTCTGTCTTGTGTCTTTGTACTACATCCTGAAGACAATCCTCTTCTGAATCTTGCCATTTCAAAGTCTGATTCCACTGAAGCCTGAAAAACCATGAGTTGTGAGTCTCTGTCACAAATTCAGTATCACCTATGACTTGATATTGTTTAGTGGCCTGTGACACTTTACTGTAAGTCTCACAGGAGTGGGCAACTTTTATTTGCTATCATTAATAAATTAACTAATATTAGTTCTGTGTTAGGACTTACCTAGGGAGCAGTCTAGTTCATAAGGTTTTATCAGCTTGTCAGCAAGCACTGGAAGTCAAAATAGAATGATTCTTGATTTGCTTTTCAGTGAGATGGCCCCAACAAAGGTTGGATGTGGCTTTGTTCATACTGAGTCTTTTTCTGGACACCTTTCATTCTCATTAAACTTAAGAGGTTGCTGGAAGGAGCAGTGTGAGCTGCAGTGTTGTCCACAGGAATCCACTTCCCCTTCTCCTGTACCTCCAGCCAGGCAACATCTCAAGACAGGTAAAGAAGAAGAGATGTTCATGACTCCCTTACAGCCCTCCAGCATGGCAAAATGAAATCCCAAATTCTCCTTCAGGAGACTCATGTCTACCTGTGCTGCAAGGCTAGGTTGCAAGGTAGGTTGCAGTTCCACCTTTTTTTGGAAAAGCCAAATCAATGCTGTTCATGCCATTGAGGGCATCTTTGAAACCATGTAGGAATATTAGCTTGCCTTGATGCCAGTGAGGTGCTTGCTTAATGAAGAGGCCAAGCATAGACTTGTGGCTGGCTCTGTGTGTATTTGGGGATATAAATCATAAGGTGGCTTTGCATCTGTGCAGCTTCTTTGGGACCATGCCGATTGCCAACATGCAGATCTCCACTTGCTGTGAGCTATTTCCAAGGGAAAAGACAAAAAATGGTTGAGGGAGAGTTATAGTCATCCTTCCTTTTCAAAGTGGAACTCTAAAGATATAAACCCTGGGTCTTGCAGTTGATGTGAGAAGATTTGCAGTATCCCAGCAGAGAGGTTTGGGAAGACACCCCGGGCCTGGCATGCCCAGGGCAAACTGGGATCCTCTAGATTTAACACATCTGGTAGTGGAGCAGTGGGGTAATAGAATCCCAGGGGCAGTAACCAGTGCTTTACGAGGTGTCAAAAATGTCCATCATAACTGAACAGCCTTGTGAAGCAACTGTGTGGTCTTTTCCTGAAAATTAAAACTAAAAAGCAAGCCATATGATGACAGCATCTGTAGCAGAGAGCAGGGTGGCTTGCATGAATTAGCAGCTTCCTGGCTGTTATCTGTGGCAGCCTTAGCCAGCTACTTATTCCATCACCTGCAGCTTCTGTGGGCTGAGGCCTCAGACTTACACCTTGGGGAGCACTGCAAGCCAAAGCCCCCAGCACTGAGCCACAGTCAAAAAAAAGCTGGAGGTCTCCTCCACAGCTTTCTCATTTAAGTCTGGGATCGTGGACATTTGATGGAATAGGATCTTGGGTCTTGGAATGTGGTGCACAGTGACCTTGAATGGCTCAGATCGTCATCTCCAAAGAGCACCTGTGAAGGTTACCAGTAAGGTGGGCTGACTGGGGATGTGCCACAGCCCCAGTGACTTGTATCTGAATCTTCCTGGCATGTCCCATTGCAGGCAAGAATAGATTAGCCAAGAATTTTCAGAAGCACTGCTGAGATAATGTTGGATATACATGGAACCTGTGCCAGTATGTGGGGTCAGAGCAAGTGATGGCCTCCTGCTGCCTTGGAGACTTGTTATGGGTAGGGGAACAGAGATAAATCCCCAAATTTCCCTGGGAGAAGTGCTATTAGGATCCACTTTCAGGCATTCCTTTCCCTAGTGGGCCAGGTGTCAGGCAGGGGGGTTATATTCTGTGCAACATTATCCACCATTAAAAAAAAAATAAACAAAACCCAAAATTACTCAGGTATTACTCAACTCATTCTTGTTAAGGTCCTGTAAGTCATATCAAGTGCAGAATCTCTCCCCTTTCAGAGATCTTCCAGCCTGTTGCATATGGATGACCCTCAGGGATCCCTGCAAGTGTCTTCCTGCCACCTCTCCCCCATGCTTCCTGATGATGGGACCCAGAACCACCCACTGAGCTGCTGGTGAGCAGCAGAAACAGTTCTGCTCTGTCTTACCCACCCTTCCTGCTGTCCCTTTCTGGGGGCTCCAAAGGGAGCCCACCAGTACAGGCTCCTGGCACAGAAAAGTCCCCATGGGAGAAGATGATTACACCCAGAAAAGTGGCTGTGGCACCCATTTGAAGGGATCTGCAGGGAGGGTAATGGGGATCAGAGCAGAGAAGGCACTGCCATCTGGCAGGGGCTGGAGCAGGGTGACAGCAAGAGGAGTCACTTTGGTCACAGGCATCCCCTGACTCAGGCACGAAGGGGCCTGGCTCCATCCAGTCTCTTGAGAGCAGAAAAGCCACAGACTCATGGCTGACTCCCTCGCCTCATTGTCTGTGCACTGGAGCAGGGAGGGCAGGAGGCAGAGGGAGTGAGGGAGCCCTTCTGTCCCCCTGGCTCTGACAGGTCCGTGCCTGCCACACACTGGGATTGGGGGTGGGTGGGAGACAGGGCAGGGGGACCGCCAAAATAAACGAACTAAGAAACCAGTCTGATGATTCTCCACAAGCTTGGTATACATGATGCAAATTGATGTTTAAAGCTTATTTATTAGCTTACATGTGAAATGCCAGCGGTGTTTTTCTAGATCAGTGGGTATCCAATATTTGGGCGGGGGGAGACGACGGCAGTGGGAGCGAGCATGGCTAGAGACTGTATATCCAGAGGCTAGGGTTTATATCATGGGCTGCTCTCGACTGTTATAATTTGTGGCACAGATTCAGCGAGAATCTGATCTGCTGAAAATATTTGGGCTGTGAAAACTCCCACACTGTGACAGATGTCAAGTCCAATTAAGTGACTCGTGTCCAGGTTTCTGTCCAATAGGCTTTCCCATTAAATACCAATTTAAGAGGGAAAAAATGCCGCCCCCTTTTCTCCGAGCCTTTATCTCTTCCGACCATCTCTAGGCGAAACCCTTTGGTACCAGAAGTGGAGCCACACGCATCTCTGCTCCGTCTGTCTGTCTCGCCCCTGCCACCTTCCGCACCCCTCCTTGGCTTCTTTGCCGCTCCGGGAGGGGTGGGAGGAGGAACTGCACTTTCTTTTTATGCATGTGAGCGTACCTTGTCCTGCACCGCCGTTATCTCTCACAGCCGCTCCGAACCCGCGCCGAGATTTTCGTTTATTTCGTTTTGTTTTTCTTTTTCAGCGTTCGCATATTTTCCTTTATTTTTCACTCGAAAGATGCAGGAGGAGTTAGGAAGCTCAGGGACGGATGGGGGTTTCGTTTATCCTTTTTTTTCTCCCCTCGCCAGTTCTTGAAGGACCAGAAGAAGAACTAAACCAAACATTCATTTTCCGACGGCGTCTGCCCCTCTCCGCCGGACCGGTGAATTAACAGAACCTCACGTTACAACCCCCACCCCCCCCAAAAAAAAAAAAAAAAAGAATAGAGAAGAAAGGAGGGAGCGACGCATTGTTACCCCGACCCGCGGCGTGCCTGTGCGCCGGGCCGCGGCGGAACAAAGCCGGCAGCGCCGCGCCGGGCTCCGCGCCCCGGGCTCCGGGCTCCGCGCCCCGGGCCCCGCCACCGGCCCGGCCCGGGAGCGGCGGGGCTGCCGCAGGGAAGGAGAGGCTCAGGGGGCGGGAGAGAGAGAATAATCCCGGACGGTGCCGGTGCTGTCGCCGCATCCCTTTTGTTATTTATCGCGGTCGGGGAAGAGGAGGAAGAAAAGCGGGGGAGAGGGCACTTTCCTCCTCTAAAACCGACCGGCCGAAGCCGCCGGTGCGCTGAAGCCGCTGCCCCGGACAAACGGGCGGAGGAGGACTTTGATGGGGAAACGCTTTTTCTCCCCTGATGCATCGTAAGTAACTTAAGTTGATATTTATACTCCGCAAACAAACACGACAGTATAACATCTCCCGTCTCTGGAGCGCTGGAGGCCGCGGCGAGGGATGAGATCTGCCTTTCCCCATTCGAGCAGGACACTTTTTCGCTCGTAATTAATTTTATTTGATTTTGATTTTTTAATTTTTCCATGCTCCGCTCCCGAAGGGTCATTTGAACTGTAAAGAAATCGCCGAGGGGGCGAGGGAACCTGGAGAGAGAGGCTATCCAAACAACTCCGCCGAGGTAAGCAGCCTTAACAATATCTTTCCCTTTTGCAGGTAGCAGGGAGCATGGGTTTACTGTAATAATAATAATAATAATAATAACAAAATAATTTTTTAAAAATAGAGAGGGGGGAGGCGGTAAAGACCCTCTTTGCAGATCAGCTCGCCAAGCCTCACCGTACAGATAAATCCAAATCAAAGCGAAAAATTCAACACACACCATTAGAGAAACCTCTAAGCAACTTTCTTCACGAATCACCGCTTTAATTGCCCGTATTCGTACAATCGCCCTGCAAATCCTGCCTCTCTAACCTGCTTTTTGCATAAGCCCCCTCGCTTGGGTGCCAGTTGAAAGGTGATTTTAAACCTTTCCTCTGTATCTTTTTTGCCTCACGAGATCACTGATACCTGACTTGCGCGCTAATGGGTTTTTTCCCTACCCCTGCCTTGTGGGCCTGATTAACGCTCCTTATTAAAAATCGAAGAGGAAGCGTTTCCGACGGCCCTGGAAAGAGACGGCCCTTTCCCAGAGAAGGAAGAGCTCTTCTCTCCCACTCCCCAGTCCTGGCTGCCTGCGCACCCCGGGGAGCGCTGAGCCTCGGCCCCCAGCGGAGCCCCTCTGCCCCGCCACGCGTGCCCCGCGTCTCGCCCCGTTGGGGGCAGCTTGGCTCTGTCCCTGCCTGGGGAGAACTCTTCCTGCCCATGTGGTTGTTGTTGTTATTATCATTACCACAATAATAATATAGTTCATTTTTCCGAACCGGGTCTGAGGCCTGACTGGGACTTTCCCTGGAAACTTTATGTGGAAATAGTTTGCAATCTTAATTCGGGGGAAGGGAGGATGCGATGTTCCCTCCTCCATCAGGCTCGCTCCCCACCTCGCTCAACACCCCAGCTGCACACACGCACGCACGCACACACACACACACACACACACATTTGTGTCCAAGGTTATTCACTAGTTGCCTGATGTATTGTTTTATTACATGCCTGCATGTCCACGGACGCGCTCGGATTTGTATTGCTGTCTACATGACAGATGGTGCTCTGTGAGGCCGCAAGAAGATACGATTCAATTTTCTTTTGAAAGGCACGTCCGCATTTATTTATTTATTTATTTAGCCTCCCCCTCTTTTCGCGCAGGGAGGGGAGAGGAGGGAAAATTTAAAGGGATGGAAAAGTTCGGCCTCTGCTTTGAGGTTTTGTTTCTTTTTGAATTCGACGCTTAGGAAACGGAAACTCTCCAAACATTCCCATTTGATCGCTAGCAAATCGCTATCTGCACGATTAGCATCAGGAAAGGAAAGAAAGAAAAAGAAAAAAAGAAGGAGCACAGAAAAAAGAGCAGAGAGAAGAGCCTAGCAGATACATCGGATCCCGTAGGGATTGGGGAAATAAATCTCCCCACTGGCCTTGTTATATTTGTGGAGCCTTGAGCTGTGTATTTAAAAGTATCGTGTCCGTAGCCTGGATCCCATAGAGTGTTTCCGAAAGAGAAACAGTTAAGCAGAAACTGGCAGGCTAGAAAGGACAATATTAAAATTGGGGGCCTGGACGGAGAGGGGGGCGGGGAATCAACATATTATTGGAACACTGGATATTAGCTTGCTTGGAAAAAAAAAAATCTTCTATTGCTCTCTGGGCCTGTTTCAAGACCCAAGGAAACGCAGGGAATAACGGCAGGAAGTATATTCCACTGAAGCTGCCGTCAAACGCTAGAGAAGGGATGGATAAATGAGGGTATCGTTTATCCCCGATATTGCTCTCATTAGTACTCTCTGAAGGAGCCGCAACTCGTCCACCCGGCTCTCCCCCCGCCCCGGTCGGGCGGTACCGGCGCCGGGGGCAGGGCGCGGGGACCGGCATGTCCCTCGTGTCCGTGCCCGTGTCCCTGCTCCCCGCCTTGCCCCTGTATCCCGAGGCCGGGGCCCTGACCCGCTCTCTTTGCTTCTCTGTCTCGGGAAGGCTCCTCCGCCCCCTCCAAGATGATGCTTAGCCCGGACCAAGCTGCCGACTCCGACCACCCCTCCTCGGCGCCCTCCGACCCGGAGTCCCTGGGCGGCGCGGACGCCCAGGCGCTCAGCTGCTGCGTCTCCGACCCGGAGCCCGCCGAGGGCGGCGGCGGCGAGGGCCGGGGCGGCGGCGGCGGCGGCGGGGAGGGCCGCGGCGGGGTCCGGCCCGGGCTGCACCCGCCGCCGCTGAGCCGGGAGGAGAAGCGCCGGCGGCGCCGCGCCACGGCCAAGTACCGCTCGGCGCACGCCACGCGTGAGCGGATCCGCGTGGAGGCCTTCAACCTGGCCTTCGCCGAGCTGCGCAAGCTGCTGCCCACCCTGCCCCCCGACAAGAAGCTCTCCAAGATCGAGATCCTGCGCCTCGCCATCTGCTACATCTCCTATCTCAACCACGTGCTGGACGTGTAGCGCCCGACGGACGCCCGGAGCCCCGGGACCCCCAGTCCCGTCGCCCCGGGTCCGGCCGCGGCGGGCAGCGCCTTCCCCGGGGCGGGCGGCGGGGCGGGGGGGCCCCGCTGCTTGTGCTCCCCGCCCCGGAGGGCTCCCGCCCGGTCGAGAGCCAGCTTTTCGAAGAGAAATGTAAAACCGGATTGTCTCTTCAGGCTGTCAAGTGCCCCTTTATATATATCCAAAAACATCTACTTGTGACCTTAAACGTGTGACCCATGGGTGCAGTTAAAAATAACTATTTTTTATTTATGGTAGAAGGAGTTGACAATTTATTTTTTTCAAGATTTATTTATTTTTCAGAGTGGTGGCAATTTTACTTTGGATACTTCGTGCCAATTGGTTTCTATAGTCGGGTGTTTACACTTTCTCCTGTGGAATATTATGTTTGACTTTATGAGTGTTTGTTGGGATCAATACAGTGTTCAATTTATTTTCTTTTTAATTTATTTTTTCCCTCCAATTATATTGCACTTGTGTACCACAAACCTCCCCTCCCTCCCTGTTTATAAGTATATTTTATATATATCAAGGCATTTGTTCTTGACCTTTTTTCTTTCGTTCCTTGTGTGGGATCAACAACCACTAGCACTTAACTAGGAGAGGGTTTTTTTTTTAAACTTGTTGTTATTCTGATCTATAGTTGCGTCTGAAAAGTACTTTGCAAATCGTTTATAAGGGAAGTAGTTTCTTTGTGGGTGTATATGTGTGTGTGTGTACACATGCATGTGTGTGGGAGTGAGCGTGGGTGTGTATGTGTGTGGTATATTTTTAGGAAAGGACATTTTTTCCTAAAAAAAAAAGAAAAAAAAAAAAGAAAGAAAAGTAAATCCAGGACTGCTTTCCTTTGTGACAACCAAAAAAATTCTATAACCTGAAAATGTTTCATGTTCTTTGCTGTGAATCTCTTAAAACAAGAAGCGCATTTTAGGGACAAAAAAGAAAAAAAAAACACATCTGCTATCCAAAGATTTTAGTCTTTTTCAGGGTTTTTTTGTGTGTCTATGTTGCTTTATATAATGCAATATTTTGTAGTGAAAATAGATAAATCTGGTTTCTATCTGATGCGTTTTTCATATCTCTCATGAATGGTGAGCTGTTTTGCATATAAATAAAAGTATCAAATAAAAGCTGTTTTTTCCTAATTATTTTTCCCTGTTGGTCCTTCTGTAAGACAGGCATGAGATGTCCTTATGAATAAGGATTGCAAAGGCTTCTCAAGTCGTGTGTGGGAAGCTTCAACAGGTTACCTGCCTCTTCCTAGGGAGACTCGGACTGCAGTCCCTCCAGCACAGCTTCCCTGCTCCAGCCGCTCTCAGCTGGCTGCCCTGCCCAAATGCAAAGGAGACACAGAACCCTTGCTGTCACTTTCTCCCAGTCTCATCATGACTGGCATCTGGTCACATGTTCCAAAGTTCAAGCTGTACAATCCAATCCGATGCTTGCAAGCACCTGTTTTGTTACCTCACACTTTGAAATGTCTGGCTTTGCCACCCAAATGTACGTGTTGTGTCCTGCCTGAGTGCACTGGGTTTTCTTTCTCTTGTTTAAATTCAGCTTTGATCCCTCTCTGGCCAGGTCTTATTCTACTGAAACCAAGGAAAAATCTTGTGCCCTTTCCCTGCTTTAGAAAACCTCAACCATAATCTTTCATACAAGGCTTCAATTGACAAATCTTGTCATTTGAAACATGGAAGAGATACAGACTCAATGGCAGACAGGTTATTACCTGAGTAATGTGAGACTGTCTCATTTACTAAACCCTTTCCTCGTTTCCCATGAGGGGTTAATTTTACCTATAATTTGAATACTGCCATTGACTCTGGTGGCTGCATCATCCATTCTTACTTGCTGGAGAGATAAAACCCTCACCTCTACCCCATTTTTATGGCTGACACTTTGCACAGCGATTTAATTAAGTGTGGTCTTGACCAGCTGAAAAGCTCCATGCAGAAAACCTATCAGAGAGACTGTTAATTCCATTTCCTACAAATACATGCTTGCCATGTCCCAAGGGAGCACACACTGGTTTGGTAGTTCAATGCACAGGTTTCAAATCCTGCATTTCAGGGCTGAAATAACTCCACCAACTTTGGAGTTGGCTTCCTTTGGGACAGGTTTGTTTCTTAGGTTCAATATCAGGGCGCTGTGTTGAGTTTGATGTAATTGACTGAGTGATATTATAAATCCTGCCATTCAAAAAGCCTTCATGCTACCAGCATTTGGGAGGACCTAGTTAATGAAAAGATAAACATATTATTTCCTTCTTGAGCATTGGGAATGCATGTTTTAGGGGGAGAGAGTGCTCTGCAACAGCTGACTGTAAAGTATGACGGCTGCAGTCACTGGCAGTTGTAGGTGTCAACCCCACATTCCCCCTGGCCTCACTTCCCCTTCTGGGGGTCCCACACACGTGTCAGAGGCACAGGCTGAGATAATGCCTGAGTCTCAGGTTCCCAGCCACGTGATCCTGTGCCCAAGTGATAAGCCAGAAAGGCTGCTGTGTTGTAAGCAAAGAAGAGCACAGCGTGGAGATGTGTGGGAACAGGCTCAGGAAGTCTGAAAATCTTGTGGGCTCTTCCATTTTTACCATCCCTGAGACAACAGAGAGCCTGACTGCACTCAGACACAGAGCAGCAAGGGCTTTGCTTTTGGTGGTATCCAAAAGGTCAGATTTCAAGTTTAACCTGCAAAAGTGTCAGGACACTTGACCTGAAGAGATGTGCTTTTCTTCCCAAGTGTTATCTGATGTAAGAAATTGCTTTTTCCTACAAGTCCTGTCTCACTTCCATACACTCAACATCTTGTTTAAATCCTGTCCCCACCATAACATCACCCCAACTACTTCTGTTTTTCCTGCTGGCACCAAGAAGGAAGCTCATTCCCATTTAGCAGTGTTGAAAACAGAATGCAGGTTTTGCTCCCACATTCCACACTTTTTTTTTTTTTTTTTTTTTTTTTTATTCTTAAGGAGCTGAGTAGTATGCACAAGCTACAAGGTACATGCAAAAAAATCAAGGCTGCATGGCTAAGTGCTCAGAAGTCTGGATTTATGAAGAATGGGTAAACAAATTTAACTCCATCTCATTGCAAGTCTGGGTTAGATAGCAATAAAGTCTAATTATATAATCAAAGTTTGCCTATGTCTACGTTCCCTCAGCAATAAAGGAGCGAATGACCTTGAATGACAATACTATAGGAGGAATGGGGTTGGAACTGCTGAATGGAAGTTTATATCACACTCAGTCATTACAACAACTGGAAGGGAAGAGATACAGTTAATATTTCCTGGTATTTTAGCCACATTCAGATACCTTTCTTGCACAACTGAAGAGGAGTTCATCCTACAAACCATGAAAGAAAGTGCACTTAGACGGAGAAGGCAGAGCACTACCTCCGGACCTTTAGCTGACTCTAAAAGAGGGACTTTAGGCCTGAACTGAATACAATATATAAAACATTTAAGACATTATATAAAACATATAAAACATTGAATGGAAACCTCCAGCATTCACAGAGCGCAAGTAGCTCTAATAGATAAACCTAAAATATCCCAGTACAAGAGATATCCAATGCATGCTACCATTGGGTTATAACACCTATTAAGACACATTTTCAGGCCTATATGGACTCACAGGGACACAGTGCAATACACACTCACATGGTATCATTAGGAAGCAGGGCAGCTAATGCATTCATCTGAACCCTGGGAACAGATCCTGACCCTGATACAGCAAATGAGGACAGACAGGAAGCCAAAAGTAACTCCTCCAAATAAACATAATGGTTTTGACAGGACTGTACAGCTAAGGGAAAACTGTATCTCAGTATCATACAGTTTCCTAAGAGATTAAAAGATCTCCAGCACAAAATATTCCAAAATATAGACTTGAATTTATGGTGCTATTACATATGCACATACAAAAGGAAGAATTTCTAGGCATAGACCATCACTGTCCAGCAAAGTGTGTGGTACTGTGCATTCGGGATCACATTACTCCCCAGCCACAAAGTCATGTCTTATTGTTTGTGTTAAAAAGTGTTTGAGCCAGGTGGGATATGACCATTGATACAGCAGATAAATTCTGAGGGTCTTGGATGTGATTTGATATTTTTGCTGCATTTCTAGCAAAGAGAATTTGTGCATGATTGGGAAGAGATGGGGGTGGGGAGCTGAAGAGGATGTTTTATATGAAACCCAATAAAGAAATGGATCTTTTCCATTATATAGCTGTGAAGAAATAGCAGAGACATTCTATCTATCTCTCCACATATCTATCCATCTAGCCATCCTGTAACCCAATTAACCCAGTTCTTTTAGGGTGAATAAATGTGTTCTAATATCAGCCATTATTTTTCAGTACTCTCAGTTTATTCTCCAGGGTGGGACAGATCAATAACCACAATAGCAACCGACCCAAAAGGAAAAGACAATCTCCTGGCGCTTCTTATTTATTTCTTCAGAGCCGATTTCGTTTTTCCTGCCTCTTCCCCTGGTGACGGATTTTGCCTTTCCTGCCCAGAATGGCCGTGTTGTTTTATCCTGAGCTCTATTTGCATGTGAGCTTCAGATTCATCTTTGGCTCCTTGCACGGTTTGGGATGAGACCCTCCTGTCCCCAGAGAGGGGGGCAGGTGTTGCTCCAGTCGAGCGAATGGAACCAAATTACAGGACCGTCTGTCGCCTCCTCTGGGAGCCGGCAGAGGGAGGGGAGGAAGGGGAGGGGAGCGGGATGCCGTACGACAGAAAAGAAAAGCAGAACATCATACTGATGCCGATAAGAGCTTGAAAACACGAGTCACCCCAGCCCACAGCCCCACCCAAAACCATGCAGCAGCCACCTGAAAGAGAAATGTCAGGAGCAGAGACAGAAATAAATTGAGTCACTGGGCTGGAATAACTCAGGCTCAAAATGAAAGAGAACTCAGACCCCATCCACTTTCAGACACAAGTGCAGGCAC